GACAGTTTAACTTCTTCCTTTCCTATCTTTATTCCTTTTATTTCTTTCTCTTTTCTAATTGCTGTGGCTAATGTTTCCAGAACTATATTGAATAGGAGTGGCGATAGTGGGCATCCTTATCTTGTTAGAAACAGTTTTTGAGCATCCATTTGTTCACAACACTAAGCCGGATGTGCTACATATTCACTCCTCTATCTCATTTTCATGATTTCAATGACAATGACATTTAGGGTGTATTAGCCTTAATTTACACTTGGGAAAACTAAGAATCTGGAAAGCAAAGCAACTGGTAACAGCTTTAAGCAATTAAAATAATTATTCTGTGTAATGATATGGCATTACTAGTTATTACAGTGTAATAACCATGCCTGCCTAGCAAGTATAAGGTCCTGAGTTCAATTCCTGGTACCGAAAAAAAAAAGAATATATAATTTCTTAAATTTATGTGCAAATCAACATTTCATATATATAGCTTCTTAATATAACATCTAGGGGTTATTTATAAAACTTCTCAGGACGCCCCCTCCCCATGAAAGTAATTTTCTCTGATTTTTTAGTAATTGCCATTGTAAAGAATCCAAATAGGTATTCTACAAAAATGGAAGATAAAGATCACCTCATGTTTTGCTACCCTGTGATATCAAGAAGGAGGATCACCAAAATATTTACACATTCTTCATGCCGTTTACACTCCAAAATTATATACAAATGGGATCATATCACAGTTAAGTACAGGCTTTGTGCTTGCTGAGGGAAAGCTACAAGGAAGAATAATACATGCTCCATATCTTCTATCGCTTTATAATCTAGGAGGAGAGGTAGGTGGGTATATAAACAATTTAGACCAAATAAGACTTGCTTTAATACCTGCTAAATGTAGGGTGGAAGGCCGCAAAGGCACTCCCAGAGTTCAGAGGCCTTGTTTTCTTTCTCTTAGGCATAGACCCTTAATAGTACATGGAATTATTGCCTACAATGCACATCTACTAATAAAGTCATTTGTACAAGTGAGACAGAAAAAGATTTTGTTCACTGGTTTAAATGGATTAACTCTTATGGTTTGAAAGCTCAGTAGAAAAGCATTTTGTATATTTGAAAGTGAATTATTCATTCTCCCATTAGGGATTTTCTTTCCTATAAGGCTAGGGCATTTTTGTAACAAGAAAGACGGTGAAATATTTTGCTGTAAAATTTTGTCTGTTTAGAGCACGACAGTTTGAAGGTTATGCTCCCTGGAGCAGTTTTGCAGTATCTTAGGATTGAACCCAGGTAATTGTATGTCTGATCATTATAGATCATGCATTTTTTTGAGGCAAGGTTTAACTATGTAGTCCAGGCTGCCTCGAATTCACTGTTTAGTCCAAGCTGACCTCAAACTCCTGGCAATCCTCCTGCCTCAGCCTTCTGAGTACTGGGATAACAGATGTGCGCGACCACACCTGACAGATGCATTTATTTATTACTACTGTACCACCGAGCTACATCCCCAGCCTTCTTTTTATTTTTTATTTTGTGGCAGTGTCTTGCACAGTTGCCCCAGTTGGGACTTGATTTTCCTGCCTCTGCCTCCTTTAATTCTGGGATTATAGTTGTGTGTCACTGTGCTGGGCTGAGTACTGTAGTACATTTTAAGACAGAAATCTTTGCTTAAAAGTAAATTTAAGCATTCAACTTGATCTTACAACTAGTATTACAACAGTGCCTACATTGAGAATTTACACATTTGCATATGCCAAAGGAAAAATCTTGGAAGTAGGAATAATAGAGGGATCGGGAGTGAAAATAAATCTCCAATGATACATATGGATTTCAAATATTTGATATACTTTTTAAATTTAAATTTGGTGAATATTATGAATTTTCATTTGGGTTCACTTTGAGTCTTTCTGCTCAGCACTATTCTCACTGTTAGTGGAATATATGTATAAAGGAAATAAGATGGTCGTGGTCATATTCTCCTAAAGGAAAAACTATTTGATCTAACATTGAAATGATCAGCATAGTAAAACATGGAAGCTTCATGACTCAAGAGGGAAAATGTAAAAAGATTGTCTAGTGTGTGACTAATCTCAAACTAAAGGGATCTTGAATTCTTCCTACCTTTATTCGGGGATAACTTTATTTTATCCCTTGTTATGTAGTTCTACCTCTAAAATAAGATTAAACTCTTCTGGTCAGTGGTGTGTGTGGGGGGTGCTTTTATGGATTGAAAAACTAATACCAATTTAGACAAAAATATGAAGGCCAGAAGAACCCAACACTTTAGGAAAGGAGTCAGCAAAATCCAGACTGGAGGGCTGGGGATTTAGCTCAGTGGCACCTTGCCTGCCTCACAAGCACAAGGTCCTGAGTTCGATCCCTGGTACCAAAAAAAAAAAAAAATCCAGATTGGAAAACTCTGTAAGTACTAGCTAACTGGTATTGTCAGCAAAATAATTTCAAGGAAAAAAAGAAGAGGAATCTATATATCACAAGGTACTCAAGACACATATCAACATATATTATTTGAGATCTGGTTCAAACATACTTAGGATAATTAAGACAATTGATGAAATATAAACACTTCCTGGTTATTTGATGATATTAAGGAATTGTGATTAATTTTCAAGTATAATAACTGTATTCTTAAATTTTTAAAAACAAGTCCTTTCAAAGATACATACTGTAATAAATGTAGATAAAATGATATGCCTTAGATTTGATGCAGTCTCACAGGTCTATTTGAGTTCCGTAGCTTAGCACAGAGGAAACACTGCATAGTTCATTGAATTACATTGTATTCTGGTTTCTCTGTTACATGTTGAACATCACAAGCATCCACTTTATTTCTAGGACATGTTAATTTAAGCATTGTAAGGATCAGCTCAATTTGATCTATCAGTGCATTCATTTAACAAATGCTTGTGATTGTTCTGTATGTCAGGTCCTATTCTAGGAACTGAGGATACTGCAATGAACAAGACAGAGAAATACTCGCTCTTATAAAACTTTCATTTGAATAGAATGAGATATACAGTAAACAAAAGAAATGAGCAAATTATAAAGTGCATAGTATATTAGAAAGTGCAGTGGAACCTTGACTTATGAACTGGATTGGTTCCCATGGGCTGGCTGTAACTCAAGTTGGTTTTAAGACAATATAGCTGAGATCTGGATGTTTACCTGGGTACATGCTATAGATAACAAGAAGCAGATGAATCTTCCATTAAACTAATTCACCCAAGTTGTTCCTATGTCAGGCAGGTCGTAACTTGAGGGTTCACCGTATTTAAGACATATGTTAAAAATGAAGATATTAATCATAAAATTAAAACTGGCCCATTAAAATAGTTTTAGTTTATATTGTTTGAAGTACTCTTTCAGACTATTGCTGTGACGTTGTGTATTGCTATTTTCTTTTTTTGTTAGATCCAATGGATGTCAAGAAGGAGACTCGAGAGAAAACTCATTCATCCACATCTTCTGTGCAAAGTGGTAGGTTTTTAAAGTAAAGTAGCTTAATGTAACATCTTTTTTTCCTCAGTGCTAAAATGAGCTCTTATTGCTTTTTCTACAATCTGTACAATAAACTCCTGTAAATTAATCATCCAAGCAGTACAAAAGATTAAAAATTTTGTATTACTTTACTTTTGAAATTTTTTATGACTTTACTTAGAGATAAATTGATAACTATGTTTCATTGCAAATTTTGCCAAATCCTAGATACTGCATTATTAATTGCCATTTATTACCACCTTGAAATAATTCGATTATTAAACCTCCCTTTTTAACATTAGTCATTGTAAAAGTTCTTTTTTTTTAATGTTTCAAAAGCAGCTGATTTGTTAAGTGCTTAGGTATTGAGGGATCTGACGGACCTGTTCTAGAATCATGACCTCACTCCTTACTTGCTAAATAGCCTTCGACAAATTACTCAATGTCCCTTAGTCTCTTTTTTCTTTTTTGTAGCACAGGGATAATAATAGTTTTCTTTTTGTTTTTTTTTTTGTTTTTTGGTACCGGGGATTGAACTCGGGTCCTTGCGCTTGCGCAGCAGGCGGCAAAACTGCTGAGCTAAATCTCCGGCCCAGTAATAGTTCTTACCTTATGGAACTATTTCAATTAAATAAAAAAATGATTGTAAAACACACAATATAATGCCTAGTTATGTAGTAAATACTCAGTAGATACCAACTTCATTTATTAACCCTGAGAGTTATTATTTCATATTTTAAGTTTCTTATTTTGAACAGCATGTGTATACAACTGCATCAGAGAAACTCAAGAGATTGCATCTGACACACTGGATCTGCTGCTCCTAAGAAAAATAAAAATAAGTTATATGCATACAAAAGCTGAATAAAAATACCTTAGCAAACTATTGTTTTATGAGAAATTTGCAGGCCAACTTCTTGCCCCTTGTCTTTCTATTGTACCTGCTCTGCCAGCCTTGATTCTGGAGTTCACCCCATGGCTTTCTATTCCTTTTTCTTTTCTTTTTTTTTTGAGTACAGAGAATTGAACCCAGGGTGTCGCACATGCTAGGCAAGCATTCTACCACTGAGGCATATCCCCAGCCCCTGGCTTTCTATTCCTACATGAAAATTGCCTATAGAGGTTATCCCCATGGAATCACTGTTTCTCACTGTAGTTGAGCCCTCAGTGCTCCCTTAGATTCCTTTTTCATTGGCTTTATTTATTCTTCAGCTCTTCCCTTAACCCCCCCCCCCCCAAACTCCCTAAGGAAATGGAGACCATTAGGTTAGAATGTTCTTATTTCTTTCCTGCTTTTTAAAATATATTTTAAATATAACAACTTCTTTGAGAAATAATTCACATGCCATATAGTTTATTTATTTACTTATACAATCCAGTGGTTTTCAGTATATTTCGAGTTGTCCAACCATCACTACAGTCAATTTTAGAACATTTTCACCATCCTGAAAAGAAACCCTATTGCCATTAGCAATTACTCCCCATTCCCCTCTCCTAGGCAAATACTGATCAGCTTTCTATCTCTATAGGCAAACAGTGATCCTACTTTCTGTCTCTAGGTTTGCTATTCTGGATATTTCATATAAATAAGCTTAAAATATATATTCTTAAAGGTTGAAACTAGTAACTTTTCAAATTTCTCAAACTTCTCATTTAAGAAAAGATTATTTAATTGTTTTTTGTTTTTTGGGCTTCTTTTTGGTAGTGGGGATTGAACTTGGGACCTTGCGCTTGCAAGGCAGGCGCCGGAACCACTGAGCTAAATCCCTGGCCCAAGATTACTTAATTGAATTGACAGTCATCTACAAATACTTGTCAGATCCTAGACTCTAACATCTCATCTTAGTAAGTGATTGCTAGAATGTTAGCTCCAAGAGAGACACAAGATTTTGTCTATCTTATTAATTGGTGCAGTCATAGTACTTAGGACAGTGGTGTATAGTGGTGATCCAGTATGGGAATCCGGTGATGAACAAGACAAACATGATTTCTGCCTTCTTTGAGCTTACAGGGCAAGATAGATTTTTAAAAATGCTATTACAGTTGGGATAAATGTCGTGAAGTAGTGAGTGCTGATCATTCAACTGAGAAGCTTCCACCTCTGGATATTTTGCCTATCTTCTTCACGTAGCTTGTGAATCCAAGCCTAGAACTAATGAAAGGTGCTAGGATTCTATTTATGTACTCTGGAGATCAGTGGGGCTTATATAGATTATATTCAGTGTGCCAAAAGGTGTTGCAGCTAATGTATAGGCTAGAATGGAGTAGAAGTCAAATAAGGACAACCATGGGCATGTACAGTTAGTAATCAGATCACAGGGTTATATATGTGAAGAAACCTATCAGTTTCTGGGTATCTTTAAGAAAAAAAATGAACCCAACCCACCCTCACTTTCTTATCTTTCAATTAGAACAAGATGCAGAGGCAGACAGGGACCATAGGGTTGGTTAAGATTCTCTGTTTTGGGCTCCTGGTTGAGAAATCCAGCTGTACTGTTAATGTGGATGTGTCAAATCTAAACTAGTAAAGCCTGCATCCACCTGTGTTTCCACTAAGTTATTGATAGGGTCTCATCACACAGGCAGCCAGAATGAACAGTTTTTTTGAGGCAGTCTAAAAATTTTACCTTCTGAAAAAGACAACAAAAATTAAGGTTCCAAATGGTAAATGATACTTATGATCACCAGCTAGCAATATGATAGAAAATGATTCTATTACATTATACCACTATAAAGATTTTGGTAGCACAAATTATAGCCCATAGCAACATAAATGGTGATATTGGAGAGCAAATTTGTTAAGTATTTTCCAGTGTGATTGAAAAATTTTACAAAGGTTATTGGCTTATGAAAGAGTGTTCTTTGGGGTATACAATACGTGTGAGGTTTTAGTTTCCATGTCACTGTTCTCAACTTAAACTCCTTTCTGCCTTACAGCTCCTTTATGACATCCTACTGAAAGTTTCCTCCATTCATTTTTTTTGGGGGGGGGATTTGTTTCTCACCCTTATCATCAAGACTTACTGCCTCCCTTCATCAATATTTATTGAGCATTTACAGTGTACTAGGCACAATAGAACATACAGAAAACATTGTCCCTGCTCTTGAGGAGCTTACATTCTAAAAGGAAAAAAAATACACCTCTTTTAAAATGGCATTTTTGTTTGGTGTTTTCTGTAAAGTACTGAGGAAATATTCTGTAGGGTGAGCTTTGGGTATAACTTAGCCCCATCGTTATTTAGAGAAGAGAGAAAGAGAAAGGATTTTAAAAGCAGACAATGACAGACTATCAGGATAGGGAGGGCTTACAGGGAGAAAACACAGTCTCACCAACTAAGGAGAGTCGTGCCAAGTGAAGAAGATGAGGGAAGTAGTCTGTGGGATGCAAGCAGAGGAAGCAGGTATGTTAGACATTGAGTGGAGCCAGAAAGATCATGCGGCCTTTTCCCAAGCACATGGCCACCAAATAGGAATGGTTGGTGACAAGACAGAAGGCTAAAAAGGTAATCTTGTGCACCTGACAAAGAGAATAAAGGATTAAAATTGAAGGCAAGCTATAAAGAGTATCAAGAAATTCTTAAAAACCAGAAGTGATCAGGAAGCACAAAACTTGCAGTCAATGCTACCCAATATCATGATGGGTCAAGAACATTGTGGCTTCCTAAGTTAGAAATGCCATATACCAAAATTTTAAACAACACATTAATTTTTTCCAATCTCCTCTTCCATCATAAAATAAATTTTTTTCATTTCAATTATTTTTTAGGGGGTAAAGGGGAGACATGGGATATGGTTGAGAATGGTAGTTATATTACTAGTATTTTTGTTATGATAAACTTTGCCTTTAAACTTGGAAAAAGCCCATTAACTGCCAAGAGGGAAGAAATAAATTTCCAAGAACGTACAATTTCCTTCAGAGAAGTTTCAAAACCAAAAGGCTAATTTACATGAAAAGCTGTAGAGAAAGTAGTTGAAAAGTCCATTCATAAAACTTTTATTCCACGTACACGAACTTAATATACATATGTTCTTAACAATTATGCTTGGATTGTTCACAAAAATTTAAGACATTAAACAAAGCTAGCCATCACCTCAAGTTATTTTCCTGTTAACTATTTTTACAGCACATGCATGTTAGACAAGTATCAAAGAAAAAAATCACAGAAGCAAAAAAAACCCCTAAAAAACATTTTTATTGTTTTATTTTTTGTGGTACTGATGATTGAACTCAGGGGCACTCTTCCAGTGATCTGCATCCCCAGCCTTTTTTGTTTGTGTGTTTGTTTTGAGACAGGGTCTTGCTAAGTTGCTTAGGCTGGCCTCAAACATAGAATCCTCCCACCTCAGTCTTCTGAATAGCTGGGATTACAGGCATGTGCCACTGTACCTAGCTGTTTTGTTCTTTTTAAATATTCTCCTAGATCAGTGATGGTGATCCTTTTAGAGCTTTCAATGATACAAACAGCCCACTGTGGCACATGTGCCGTAGTTTCACCACCACTGCCCTAGATCATGTGGTAGTTTCAGTTAAAATTTTGTCTCCTGATTGTGAGATTAGGAGACCACTGAAACATCTGGTCAGTTTTATTTTGAAGCCATGGATTTCTCTTTTCACTTTTGACAAAGCTACTAAGTTCACAAATTTAGGCACAGTTATGACATTTAGTTTTATAATATACCATTTATTAACTGACTTATTTATGTGCTACTTCATTTAATCCTCAAAACACCTAGTACCATATATATTACTTTCCTTGTTTTATAGATGAAAGTGAAATGACTTGTTCAGAGTCATATGCAGGCAACTCTGACTCCAAAGTCCATATGCTTGACACTGCTACATGACTTTCAATACTCTGGTAATGCTCACTCACATCATCTGGAAGTGGACTTAAACACTATGTTTTTAAGTTTATGGTTAAGTGTTTAAAAAGTAAGGTATTGAATGTTATATATGACATGCTCAATACCATATATAATGCGTACACATACAAATGTACATATATGTAATGGTAGTGTGCTACACCTGGCTCACACTGACTTGGGAGAATCTGTTGTGCACATCACTTCCTAACTGTGTAGTTGGAAACTTCACGTTGGCTCCTCGCAGTCAGCCATGGTGGTAGTATTTACACTACAGAAAGCCACACTACCAGTTAGGCTTTTTGGTTGTATTTTCATAAAGCTGGTTATTAAACATTTATCAACACTCGTGTGTGTGTATGTGTGTGTGTATGAAAGAGAGACAGACAGAAAAAGGGGAGAATACAGTATCCTTTGAAGAATACAATATTTCCCCCTTATCTGGCATACATTCATTCTAAGACCTCCAGTTGATGCATGAAACCATGGAGAGTACTATATCCTATATGTTTTTCTTATACTTTTACATATCTATGATAAAGCTTAATATATAAATTAGGCACAGTAAGGATTAACAACTATACTTGTAACTTACATAGATCTTAGCAACCTTAACGTGTGCTTTTTTTCCATTCCTAAGTTGAGAACTTTAACCTTTTCACTTAAAGTAGTAGTACTTTATGGCTTCTATTTTGGATATCTGAATTCCCAGCATCATTACTCTCACACTTTACGGCCATTATTAAGTAAAATAAGTTATTTGAATACAGGTACTTTGATACCTCAGCAGTTGATCTCATAACTGAGATGGCAACAAAGTGACTAGTAGGTAGTGTACACAGCGTGGGTAAAGGAATGATTAGTGCTCTGAGTGGGGTGGAGTGAGACTGTGAGACTTCATCAGGCTACTCAGAGATCCCATGCAATTTAAAGCTTACGAACTGTTTATTTCTGGAATTTTCCACTTAATTTTGCACTGTAGTTGGTCATGGGTAACTGACATTGTGGATTGAGGAGAATAAGGGTAAGAGAGACTACTGAATATATGAAGCTGGTAATGCGGATTCCCCAACGAAGGGGAACTATCAAACCTAATATTTTTTATAAGGAGGAAATTTAACGAGTATAGAAAAACTTTGTGGTTGATGAGAATTAAGTTTTCAGTGTCATCACAGTCTGCACATGAAATGTTAAAGCCAAGAAAAGTATGATTTTTCTGATCTTCCCATCTAGTATTAAAAAAGAAGTAAGAGTAGATCATTAAAATAATGCATATTGATGGCTGAATTAATGATGAGTTTACTGCTTCGTCCTGCCCCCATCCTCTTGTCACTCTGGATGGAGATCTAATGGTTCATTGAGCAATTACTCTGGTTCTTAGATGTTTTTCTTTCCAGAAAACATTCCAGGGGCAAAATTTTTTTAGACCACATATCTGAACAGCTTTACTTTTTTTTTTTCTTTTTTCTTTTCTTTTTTTTTTTTTTTGGTACCGGGGATTGAACTCGGGTCCTTGCGCTTGTGCAGCAGGCAGCGAAACCACTGAGCTAAATCCCCGGCCCTGAACACTTTTACTTTAATGGGATGAGATTGTGTAGACACATTTCTTGAATAAATTTATATTAGAGACAGGTAAATAGAGTACTGTTACTGTACAAAAATTACTTGCTTGTTTCTATCCACATTTTTAGAATTACTATGCTTTAGTCCTTAGTACATTGAGGGGATCTGGATTGTATTTATATCAGAGCCATTATATTTCAGGAAATAGGCTTGTTTTTTATTTCCATGCTAGTAATCGAATGGAGATCAAGAAGTTTCAATCTGCTCTTTAGGGAGTATTTTTAAAAAGAGGTATGGAGCTAAAACCCACTTTATTCTGAAAGTTAATGTATATATGTTTTATGTACATATGGGTTTTTTTTTCCAGATGATTTTGACTGGAACATGTATTTGAAAGAGACTGGATCTCTAAGTGCCCCCTCAGAGTGCTTCAGACAGGTATGCCAAAATTCTGTAAGATGAGGTAAACCATTTACTTGTTGAAGGGGTCTGATTTTTAAGTTCTGGCAGTATGAGGAGAAACTGGGGTTGTGGTTGTGTAACTTGGGAGTCAGATGGTCTGTTTGCATTTATTCATTAAGAATGTATTCTGTGTTGGGTATACTAAGCCCTTACTAGAGGAAAAGACAGACAGGTAAGTAAATAATTATGAGAAGTGTGATAACTGTACTGGGGCAGGGGAAACTCAGAGAAGAGGTGGTATTTGAGATGGTAGGAATGAAGAGAAGGATAGTCCAAGCAGAGAGAACATCTGAAGCCAAGGCAGATGGGTTTGAAAGACTCTGAGTAGTGAGAGATGGCATGGGGTAGCTGGAGCACAAGATGCATTGAGGTAGTAGAGTGGGAATAAGGTTAAAGGTGTGGGAATGTTTAAATGACTCAGGAGTTGGACTTTTATCATAGGCAATGTTAAGCTGCTAGGTCACTTATTTCAAAGGAAATGGCCTAATCAGATTATTATTTTAGAAAGCCACTTAAGGGTGAATTTTAGAAGTGGTAGTAGGTTGCTTGGGTGTGAGCAGATGAGTGATAGTAGCTAGGTGTCCTGTTTCTAATGCTGCATGTCAAGTTAAGGAGAAAATTTGGAGATCTTTTCCTTGACCTGTACAGCTCTGACCTCATTCACCATCTATTGTAACTCTTACTATTAACATTTTAAATGTTTCCAAGGTATTCTGATAATATAACTGACCATCTTTTTTTTCTTATAGTTGATGTATTTTAACAAAATTTTATTTATATATAGTCTAAGATTCCTCCTGCTAATGACTTCGAAGTTGGTATGAAATTAGAAGCCCATGACCCTCGCAATGCTACTTCAGTGTGTATTGCCACAGTTATTGGAATTTCTGGGGCCAGATTAAATTTACGGCTGGATGGTAGTGACAGTAGTAATGATTTTTGGAGGCTTGTTGATTCCTCAGACATACAGCCTGTTGGAACATGTGAAAAGCAAGGAAACTTACTTCAGCCTCCACTAGGTAAGGATAAACAGTTTATAAAATAACATATTCTTACTAATGTGATATTTAGTAGAAATAGTTTTAAATGGTCTTTTAAAGTTGTTAGGCATTATTGCAAGTAGATGTTTAGGTGGTTAATGTGTGCTAAAGGGTCCCATTTCAAGGCAAGTCTTATGCTAAGTCTTCAGATTTGAAGTGCCAAAGCAGCTTTATTAGATTTCACATGCAGATTCAGAGACTTTTTTGGGGAAGTATTTTGTAGCATTTGATGAGTTATATCCCCTCTTGATATTTTCTAGTGAGCCATTTAACAGTTTTGGTCGGTGGATAAGCATAGAGGAAAGGTATGATTCCACATTCAGACTCCAGTTTCAAAGATGAAAATATCATTACGCCTACGGTCAGAAGAAACAGAGCTATAGGGGTAGGAGTCAGTACCCTTAGGTCTTTAGAGAGAGTTCCAAATCCTAACCACCTTTAGGAGAACTTACCTTTAGGTCTCTGAAAAGGAGGAAAGTATGGAACTTTTAGCAAAGGGTTTAAGGTGGAACATATATGTAGTACTCAGATTTGGCCCACATTTTAAAAGGGTGTGACTCTTATTTTGAGGCAAAGTTTTTCTTTTTAAAATCTAAGCATGTTGTGATACTGTATAGAAAATAAGTGATTTAATTTATTTGGTCCCCATTCTACATTCTGAGCAATAGTTGTTGGTTTTTAGCTGTTGTTTACCTCTTCTTCCTTCTCTTTTTTTGTGGTACTGGGGATTGAACCCAGGGCCTTCACACTGAGCTACATCCGCAGCTCCATTTTTTATTTTGTTTATTTTGGGTTCTTTTGGTACCGGGGATTGAACTTGGGACCTTGTGCCTGCGAGGCAGGCGGTGGAACCACTGAGCTAAATCCCTGGCCCTCCAGTTTTTATTTTGAGGCAGAGTCTAAGTTGCCCAGGCAGGGCTCAAACTTGGGATCTTCCCGCCTCAGCTTCCCTGAGTGATCCCCAAGGGATTACAGGCATATACCACCATGCCTGGTTTTTTCTTCTTCATGTACTAAAAGTAAAAACTATTATAAAGCACAATGAGAGAATCGATGTCTTTGTCTCCTGTTATAAAAATTCACCAAGAAGTAAAAATTTAAGATATTGAAAATAACTGCCTCTTAGTTTTGTCTTTTCATACTGTCCTTGTTTTAATTGTTAATTATAATTAATTTGATTTAAGGGCTAAGGGGCACAGTTCAGTGATATAGCATGTGTTTAGCATGTACAAGGCCCTGGATTCAATCCTTACAACAACAAAAAAGTTAGTTTAAAATATTTTGTTTTTTTGAGACAGGGTCTCACTATGTAGTTCAAGCTGTCCTTGAACTCACTATGTAGCACAGGGTGGCCTTGAACTCAAATCTGTCCTCCTGCTTCACCCTCCCAACTTCTGGGATTACAGATATGTGCTACCACACCTGGCAGTTTAAAATATTTTTTAAAACTAAGCAGAGATATATTATTACAAGAAGATGGTTTAGACCGTGTATGCTTTTTGCTTTCTTTTCTTCATAGTCATTCACATTTATTTATGATATTTTTTAAATCATACAGTGTTGGGCTGGGGATTTAGCTCAGTGGTGCTGCCGCTTGCCTTGTAAGCGCGAGGTCCCAAGTTCTATCCCCGTTACCAAAAAAAAAAAAAACCCCAAAAATCATACAGTGTTTTGTATGGATAAGATGGGAGCTAAGAGAAAGGCATAAGGAACCGAATCATTCTAATGCAGTAGTCTACAGATAATGGTGGAGATACTTAATAAACAGTTAACAAATTTATTAGATATCAGTAATTTACCTTATTATAACAGAGTAATAAATCAGCCTCCTCCCATTTTTTTCCTAGAAAAAATTGTTTCCCTAGTTAGATTAAGGAAGTTTGAGTATAGGATTATTAGAGCATGACTTCCAGCCTTAACTCTTTTGTGTGTTTTGTCCTATTGATAGGTCTGTTACCAGTGACTCATATGCTTCCCTATCTTTTTGAGGGATTGGGGAGGTACTGGGAATTGAACCAAGTACCTCACATATGGAAAGCATTCTACCACTAAGCTGTGTCCCCAGCCTGTTTTTAAAATTTTATCTTGAGATAGGGTCTCACTAAGTTTCCTAGCCTGGTTTCAAATTGTAGTCTTTCTGTCTCAGCCTCCCAAGTAGGTGGGATTACAGGCTTACACCACCACACCTGGCTACCTCCATATCTTAATGCATGTACCCGTTAGAAGTGCATGCCAACTTTCCAGTTCTGACATTGAGGCATGCAGGTATTGCGTGAAACACATTGCCCCCAGAAAACAGTAAAACTAGTAGACCTCTGCTCTCTGCTACATATGCTGGATGCTGTGATACCAGTTGGTGAGAGCTCTAGAAAAGACAGCTCTTGTGTTTATTTTGGCAACTTCTGATACAAATTCTAAGATCATGTTTAGTATGTGACTGCTAATGTGAGAGCAGTCTTTTTTTTTGTAACATTTTATGAAAAAATGTCAAACATACAAAAAAGATGAAAGAATTTTATAGTGAACACCTGTATAACTACTACTGTACATAGGTTCTACCATTACCATTTATCTGTCCATCTGTTTGCTCTCCTATTGATTTATCAACCTATCTTATTTTTTAATGTATTTCAGAGTAAGTTATTGACTGTAGTACACCTCCTGAAAATACTTGAGCATGTATATCATTAACTAGAATAAATACAGTCTTTCTTTTGACCCAAAACTTACATGTAATGAAATACACTGTTGTATGTATACATTTGCTGAGTTTGACAGAAAATTGTCTTTCTGAAAGAAAGGAAAAGGAAAGGAAGTCAGGTACTCTGAGGAAAAGGAAGCTAGAAGTCTTCTACAACCTTTGCTTATGCTTGTATGCTTGTTGGTGGTAGAATTGAAACTTTCCTGGGCTCTGGCTTGGATCACCCTTAGTATTATGGCCTTTCCCCAAGATATATGTGTTTGTCGGTGAGCCTAGCTAGTGGCTTCTCTTAAATATCAATTTTTAGCCCCCACTATAGCATTGTTGCCACATATTACAGTGGGGCCAGTATCAACAAGAAGAGGCTAGATCTACTACTTCTGCCCATGTCCCAAGTCCTTAGATGAGAAAGTAATTCTCCAGAAAATAGTGGTTAATGAAACCTACTTTTTAAATGCCCGTTTACTATAGAATCATAGAAAAGCTTTTTCATGATACATAACTTCTTTCATAAAAATAGGGTACCAGATGAATGTATCATCTTGGCCAGTGTTCCTTTTCCGAACACTAAATGGATCTGAGCTGGCACCTGCAACAATCTTCAAGAAGGTAAGAAAAATGTTACTAAAGGCCTCTATCTACTGGGCCATGGTTTTATTATTTTAATGGGAATGCTTAAATGCTTTGTCTTCTTTGACATGGATAAACAAGATTGCTAGCAATTGATTGATTGATTGATAGTCTTGCTATGTATTCTAGGCTGGCCTTGAACTCACTATGGAGCCAAGGCTGCCCTTGAACTCACAGCAATCCTCCAGCCTCATCTTCCCGAGTGCTGAGATTACAGGTCTGTCCCACTATGCCTGGAAAAAAATGCTTTTTAAATTACTTGATCAGCAAATCTATTAGTTTTCTGGGGCCACCATAACAAAGTACCACAGACTATGTGGCTCAAACAACAAAAATTTATTTTCTCACATCTCTGGAAAGTAGAAGTCTACAATTAAGGTTCAACGTTGGTTTCTGGTGAAATCTCTTTTTGTGGCTTACAGATGTCCACCTTCTTCCTCATATAGACTCTTCTGTATTTGTGCACATCCCTGGGGTCTCTTCCTGTTGTTATGACTCTGGTCATACTGGTTTAAGGACTTATCTCCAGATACAGTCACATTGTTGATTAGTTGCATCAACATTAATTTTGAGCGGGCAAAATTCATAATAGTAGCTTAGGCAACAAAAATTTATTTTCTCATAGCTCTGGAGGCTAGAAGTTGGAAATCAAGGTGTGGGCAGGGTTAGTTTCTTCCCTCATTCCTTGGCTTGTAGATGTGCTCTTTTCCCTGTATTTTCATGTGATCTGTTTCTGTGTCCTACTTTTCTCTTCTTACAAGGACATTTAGTCATAGTGGATTAGGACCCACCCTTATGACCTCATTTTAAATTAATTACCCCTTTAAAGACCCTATTTCCAAATATAGTCACATTCTAAGGTACTCTGGGGGTTAGGGCTTCAACATAAAGATTTTGGGGATGACACAATTCTGCTCAAAACACCAGGTCATAAAAATGATTCAATTATAATCACTTACTGGCCAAATTAGCACCCTCTTTTTTGTTGTTTTTCTTTCTTTTACTCCTTCTCCTCCCACTCTTTCTCCCTTCCCCCTCCTCCTCTTCTTGTACTGGGAATTGAACCCAGGGCCTTCATGCTAAGCTACATCTTAACCCTCATTCATTCATTTATATTTTGAAACAGGCTTGCTAAGTTACCCAGGCTGGGCTTGACCTCTGTCTTCCTGCTTCAGTCTCTCAGAGTGCCTCTTTCTTGACTTTAGATATGTAAGGGGTGCTCTAGTGGCAGCAGATATTCATTGCTCTTTTTTAATTTACCTGTAGAACTGAAGCCTCTCTTTACCATGCTGTATTAGTCATTCTCTTCATATTGGAGAAAATGATGATAAGCCAAAAAACTACCTGAAAGTTACTCGAAGAGACTTGGTTTCAGAAGTAAAAGTTAAAAGTAGTCATGAGAAAGAATTGTCAAAAGTAAATACTTGTTATATTATAAAAATGAGAGAGAAAACTCCAAAAGTAGTTCATGTTCTTGAGAAAATACTGAAAAGAGTGTGTGAAGAAATAGTGAATTAAAGCTAAGTTTTAGTTAAATTATGATTCCTAATATTTCTTTCTCACTCTCCAAATGGCTTTTTAATATAGTACTTAAATTTTACTACAACTATTCATACTGGGAATGTAAAAACTGATTATAGTTTTATAAAGCTTTTTAAGAAGATGAAAGACATAAGGATATAAGACATCAATTAATACAACTGCATTGTGAAGAAAAATTATCTGAGTGCACCTTTGAGCAGCATGAATACAGAAAGTGGGCTTCCCCAGCCAGCAAGGTAGATCAGCAAATGCAAGTCTTTTGACCAGTATGAACTAGCTAAATTAGCAGTAGTTTTTTTGCATGAGTGTATATGTGTGGTATCGGGGATTGAACCCGGGAAACACTGAGTTACATTTTCAGCCCTTTTTATTTTTTATTTTGATACAGGGCCCCTAAGTTGCCCAGGCTGTCCTACAACTTGGGATCCTCCTGCCTCAGCCTCCCTAGGAGCTAGGATCACAGGCATGCACTACCACTCTTGGCTGGCAGTAGTCTTTATTAAAACCTCTTACCTTGGGCTGTGGCTTTAGAAAAGCCATTGGATCTCTTTTACTTATCAGATTGCTCTATCAGCTAGTCACATGCCACATGTCATACACATTGTCAGTTTTTAAATTATAAAAGTAATTCTTGTGGATACGTGGGCAGGATCAAGCTTTATGCTTTGCTAGAGTAAAAAATGCAGCTCCTTTTGTTCTGTCTATACCTTCATTCCACTCTTCTCTCTAAAGTGAAGTTTTATTTGTTCTAGACCAGTGATGGCGAACCTTTTAGAGCTTTCAGTGATAACAAACAACGCACTGTGGCACACATGCCAGAGGTTCACTGCCACTGCTCTAGACCTTTTTCTCTCCATTCACAAACAGATACAGGCTTTTAATTTTTTAGACATAAATAAGAATATATTATATATATCATTCTGCGATTTACTTTTTTTCTCCTAATATATGCATGTTTTAGAAATCTTTCCATTTTAATTCATATATATTTTGGGTTATATTGTATTTTTCTCTAGTATGGATTATCAGAATTTAACCTAAGGATGGATAATTAGGTAGTCTGAATTTTTGTTAGTTTTGAATGTTCTATGTGAGGGTTCTTATATTAAGTTTTGTGTATAAATATGAACGGCTATTTTCTCAGAAGTAGAATTGCTGGTTCAAGGGGATGTATGTTTTAAGTATTGATAATTACTGTTAAATTGAGCCAGGCATGGTGACACTTATGTGTAACTCAGTACTTGGAGGCTGAACCAGAAGGATCACCATCAGTTTGAGGTCAGCCTGGGCTACATAGTGACTTCAAGGCCAGCCTTGAGACCCTGTCTGAAAAACTAAAGACAAAAAACTCTGAAATGACATTCCAAAAGGGTGTTCCAAGCTGTGCTCCACTGTTGAGCATATAGATATGTTTATATCCCCAAACCTTCACTAATATATTATCCATCTTTTAAAATTTTATGAATTTTTGAGAGAGAGTCAGAGATGGGGATGATAGCCCTCTATTTTAATTTGCACTGCACCAATTAGCAGTGAAATTGAGCTTTTGAAATTTGTTTAATGACCTTTTGTTTTTCTGTAAATTGCCTCCTCATAGCTTTTGCTTGCTTTTTTGTTGCACAGTCTTTCTTTTCTTCTTTTTGATTTGTCTGTGCCCTTTCCAGCCAAATTTGAAACTTGGCCAGGAACCTTCTTAAATCCTTATACTCCTCTTGGACTCTGGCCTATGCATAGCCAATTAATTAGGTAGGTCCACGCACTTGGCTTCCTAATTGTTGCTTTGTTCTGTCTCTTCTTTCTAATCTTACACCACTGCCTCTTGTGTAGGCTTTCTTCTTGCCTGGAGTGTTACGCTAGCCTTTTAACTACCCCTGATCTTTACCCTTCCACACAACTGCTAGAGATGTGTATGTGACACAAAAACCTTAATATTCGTTCTATTGCTTAAAACTCTTTTGAAGTTTCTGGTCACACTTAGGATGAAATGTAAGTTTCTTAATGTAGCCTCTTAGGTACTCTGGTTTGCAGCTGCTGCACCCTACTTTGGATTTTATGTTCTAAACTGCTTATAATGTCCTATAGATAGCATGTTCCTTTTTAGAGCTGTGCTTTGACTCACACTGGAAATCCCTGGCTAACTCTACTTTTTAAACATATGAGCAGGCATTAAATCCTTAAGGTACCTCCCCTAATTCCTGCCATCCATTCTTCTACAGTACTTCTGTAGCATCTTTTGCATATATCCATCTTTGTATTATTAGATTATATTATTTTACTCTCTTGTGTCTTAGAATATGAGTTCCAGTTGTACAGTTAGCATGTCTGTATTTTCAGTGCCTATCTTAGTTCCTGGGCTTCTGTTTGTTAAATGGTTGAAAGGATAAGGGGGTACAGGAAGATGAATACATATGAAGGGAGCATATAGCTTTGGATTTGGATATGTTGAGGTACTTGTGGGAACTTTGAGTAGGGAAGTCTATAGGCTATCAGAAATAAAGGATTTGGAACTTATAAACTAAGTTTGGCTTAGGCGTGTGGATTTGAAAGTTTTTAGAACAAATAGTAGTGATAGAAGCCTTAAGCATGAATGAGCTAGTTCAAAAAATACATAAAAGATAGGAGCATCAAGATTAGAACCTGGAGAAATACCTACCCACCTTTATAAGGTGGGTAAAGGAATCAGAATAGCCTTAAAAGTAGAAGGAGGTGGATAACTAGAATAAACTGTCACTGAACCTAGTGGGGCAGAGTTGCAAGGACTAAGGAGTGGCAACAGTCAAGTACAACTCAGAATTTCATAGTGCCTAGCCCACATCATACACTTAAATAGAGGTCAGTTATGAGGAAAGCTGATTCTTGATTATGTGATAAATAGGAAGTGACAGCGAGAGAGGGGTCCCCACTGACTTGCTTCCTCCAATTAGCCCCACCTTCTAATAGCACCTTCAGCAGTGAACTCATGAGATTTGTGCCCCATATCTAATCACCTTCGAAAGCCCTACCTCTGAGCACATCAGCCTTTTTGGGGACATTTTGTTTTTTCTTTTGGTACCGGGGATTGAACTCGGGTTCTTGCACTTGCGCAGCAGGCGGTGAAACCACTGAGCTGAATCCCCAGCCCTTTGGGGACATTTTCAAACCGAACTGTAGCAGTCCTTTTCTGTAGCAGTAGTACTCAGCGGGAAGAGGGAGTGGTTTCCCTGCCTGCCTCAGTTCCAGGGACATTTGGTGGTGTTTGGGAATATTTTTGGTTACAACTGTGTAGGGAAATGCTGCTGACATTTAGTGAACAGAGATCAGGAGTGCTACTAAATATCTACAATGCATAAAACAGTCCCCCCACAACAAAGAAATGTTCTGTCCCTAAATGTCAGTAGTGCGAAGGCTGAGAAACCCTAATTTTAATACTGTGATAATCTCACCTAATTTCCTGGCTGTCAATGCAGTTTATGTGCGGATGACTTTCAGATCTGTATTTTCAATCCAGACCTATTGACCTAACTTACTTAGATTTATGTATCCAGCTACCTACCTGCTCAGCATCTCCACTTGGATATCTAATGGACATCTAAAATTCCATCTCCAATCTCCCCATCTCAGGGAGTGGGAACTATCCTCGTTGCTCAGGCCAAAAACTTTGATGATTATTTCTTTCTCCCCTTATATCAAGTCCAAAGGAAATCCTATTGGCTCTACCCTTAAAATGTATACCAAATTTGTCCACTTCTTGCCATCTCTATTACCTTGGTACAAGCTGTTTTTATCTCTTACTGGGATTGCTGTAATACCTTCCTCAGTAATCAATGTAGCACTCAGAGTATTTCTTTTAAAATATAAGTCATTATAGTATATCATTCCTCTATTCATAACCTTCCAGGGGGTCTTTTTTTTTTTTTCTTTGGTACCAGGGATTGAACTCGGGACCTTAGGTTTACTAGGCAGGCAGTGGAACCACTGAGCTAAATCCCCGGCCCATAGGGGGTCCTTATTTTACTCAGAGTAAAAGCCAGAGTCGTTACAGTAGCCTGCAATATAGTTCATGGTATAACTCCTTGTTAACAATTTGACTTCATTTCTGCTGCTCTCCCACTTACATACTACATTGTAGCTATGCTTGCTTCCTTGATGTTCCTCAGACTTTTCAGACATGTATCTCCTACTTTAGGACCTTTACCCTGGGCATTTTCTCTGCTTAGAATGCTTAGAACACCTCTCTATTGACATCTGCATGGTTAGTAATCATATCCTTCAGGTTTTATACTCTGGTTTCTCTTCAGATCGCATATCCTTCAGGTTTCTGCTCACATGTCACCTTTCATGTGACCTAATTCCCTTCTTTAAAATTGTTCATCCTGGGCCGGGAATTTAGCTCAGTGGTTTCGCCGCCTGCTGCGCAAGTGCAAGGACCAGAGTTTGATCCCCGGTACAAAAAAAAAAAAAAATTGTACATCCTTTCCCCCCACATTGCTTTCTTTGGCTTTCTCTCTCCCTTTCTCTCTCCCTCTCTCTCTCCCCTTTCTCTCTTCTCTCTCTGGATAACAGCTATCATTTCTAGCATTTGTATATGTTCTGCTTTTTAAGTTATGTTTATTGTATGTTTCTCCTCTTACGCATATAAGTGCCATAAGAGTGGGATTTTATCTGTTTTTCTGGTTAATATATCTAAAAAACCTTCAGTCATGTCTCACATATAGTAGATTATAAATATTAGTAAGTGAATACATGAAGGTTAATGGACTAGAATATTTGATAAGATCAAAGAAGTGGATTAAAAGTAAGAAGGTAGAAGTTAAGTATAGGAGTTTTTGGTCACAGGTAGACCCTCGGAATATAGCAATAAACAAAACATAAAAACTGCTACTATCGGTCTTACCTTCTAATTGGAGAAATGTTTCATAAACTATTATAATTAAAACATGTATTATATTTGGTAGTTCTACAAGATTAGGAGATCAGAGGTTGACGTTTTATTTATTTTTATTTTTTTATTTTTTTGGTACGGGGGATCGAACTCTGGTCCTTGTGCTTGCACAGCAGGGTGGTTGACGTTTTAGATAGGTTGGTTGGGAGGTTCTTGCTGAGAAGGTGCCATTTGAATGAAGAGCTGAAGAAAGAGAGAGGGAACCATGGAGATACCAAGATTAAGAATATTCCTGGCAGAGGAGTAATACAGATAAATGATGAGACTGGCATTAGAGTTAATGGGATACCACAGAACCATATTATAGGTAGGTAGGTAGGAAGAGAGGTTAAAAGAGCATTCTTTACTAGCTACCTTCTAGAATAGAACCATTTTTGTCTCACAGTAAAAGAATAATCGCTTGCTTATTTTAGCTATATCTTTTGGAAATTATTGTATTTCAGAAGTCATTCAAGAATTGATACTAAGAAGCCAAATTCCTTAAAAACATTTAAAAGCATTTTATATCATTAACTTTTGTGGACAGCCTAGGGAACTATTTTGCCAATTACCTAAATCTGACCCTGTCTCAAATTAAAAAGAGCCGAGTGTGATGGCACATGCTTGTAATCCCAGCACTCTGGGAGGCTAAGGCAGGAGGATGACAAGTTTGAGCCAAACCTGGACAATTTAGCAAGACCTTTTCTCAAAATAAAAAATACAGAAAGGCTCAGATATAGCTCAGTGAGAATGCCCTGAGTTCAACTCCCAGTATCACAAGATAAATACAAACAAATGAATAAATAAATTTTTTAAAAAGGGAGGTCTAGAGATGTACTTCAGTGAAAGAGTGCCTCTGGGTTCAATCCAAAGTACCACCAAAAAAAAAAAGCTAGGAGCTTACTTACTGTCCTTGGATGATTCCTTGGCTTTTTTCCTTTAAATAAATGCTTGCTATTGGGTATGGTGCTGAAAATGATAACATGAATAAGATGTAATTAACACCTCTCTCAATTTCATGGAAGTGTAGACACCTCAACAGTGGTTTCATAAGTGAAAACAAGGAGCCCTGTTGAGATGGGGCCTAGAAGTGGGCAGTGTTTAGTAGGGAAGCATTCAAGGGGGCCAGGAGAGCTGGGCTTTGAAGTGGATGAGTTGGTGTTGGCCATGCTGTTGTTGGGGTAGGGTTTTCAGGGAGGTGGCCATCAGATAAGATTGCTTAGGTTTAAAATCCAGCCCTGATAATTGGGAGTATATTCTTAGGCAAGTATGTACTGTATCGGTTTTTTCATTTGCACAATGAGAACAATAATTGCATTGACCTCATAGCATTCTTATAAGAACTAAATGAATATATATAAAACTAAAATAGTGCCTGGTGTATAATAAAATTTTAAGGTTAATATTTGATATTATTTTAGAGAGGAGGGTCATTGGCAGGTTATGGGTTTTGACTGAATTGTGGGTAAGTGGAAGGTATGAATCTAGGGCAGTCCTCAATCTTGAGTACACATTAGAATCACTTGGGGAATTAAAACATGCTGATTCCTGGGCCCCACCCTTTATCAATTCAATTAACATTTCTGGTGGTGTGGCCCCAGGTGATTCCAACGTTCAGTAGGGCTAAGAACTATGTCCAGGACTATGTCTAGGCTTCTGGCTTGGGTGACTGGGTTACTGTGATGGTGCCCATTTACTTGCATGAAAAGCTGATTGAAAGAAAAGATGTTGCTTCTTGACATAGCAGTTGGATTTTCTAAGAATCCTGTCAGCATTGTAACTAAGGAATGCTCAGGGAGGGGGTTGCAGTACTGGGATTGAACCCAGGGCCTTCACACTTAGCTACATCCTCAGCCCTTTTTATTTTTTATTTTGAGACATTCTCACTAAGTCACTGAGTTGCCCAGGCTGGGTTGAACTTTGATCATCCTGCTCTCTCAGAGTGATGGGGTTACAGGCATGTGCTATCATGCCCAGCTAGGAATGCTATTTTAATATCAATTTCTGAGTATTGGCTATCATCCATATTATGTGACTTTCATGTTTTTATGTCTGCATTTTATACTTTGAGTTTATTTTAGGATATTAGCTGCTGTTGTTGCTTCCCTTTGTACTTAGCCATATTCAGTGCACTCCTACAATTTGCATATTCAGTAGCGTTATCTACTTTCTCTTAAACTTTCTTGTCCATTGTTCTCTCCTGTCTCCAACCTCTTCTACCAACACTGCTAGAATGTACACTCCACCAGAGCAGGAATCGTTGATATTTTTGTCTACTAGTGAATCTTAAATTCTTGTTACATAGTAGATAAATCATATATTTTGAATGGATGGATGGATCAGGCTGGTTTTGTTTCCTTCCAAGTCCTTGGCTGTACTCTAGAATAAAAATGAGATTTTGGAGAGCAGATTTTCAGATCTGTGAGAACTCTTTTCTTCCTTTATTAATTGACAAAATGAAAACAAAGGGTTATTTATGATTGCTAAATGTTGTAAGAGAATACACTTGAGCAAATGGTTCTTAATACATCTTAACATTGAAAAATTTTTTAAATATTTTGGTAGGAACCACCAAAGCCACCCCTAAATAATTTTAAAGTGGGGATGAAACTGGAAGCTACTGACAGAAAGAACCCATATTTCATCTGCCCAGCAACAATTGGAGGTGTTAAAGGAGATGAAGTTTACATCACGTTTGATGGCTGGAGTGGAGTATTTGATTATTGGTGCAAGTATGATTCTAGAGAAATTTTCCCAGTTGGGTGGTGTTGCCTGACAGGAGATGTATTACACCCACCAGGAAATAAGGGTAAGCTAATAAGTAACTACATGTTTTTTTACTTTAATGAATTTGGATTTAACTACTTTTGGTGGCATTACGGTTAGCTTTGATGATACTAAGATTTCATGCCCAACTAGAGGGTCAGGCAGAACAGTGAGAGCACTGTCCTGTAGAACCAGAGGTAAGTAAAGGAAGACTGATTAGAATTTTTGAAGGCTGCCTCAACATCATATGTAAGCTCCAGTCCACCTTGGAGAATATAGACAAAGCTAAAAGTTGCATTTGTACCAAGGAAGGCTTGGTGGCTTTAAGCACTGGGCAGGGTGGTGGGCAGCTACCTTTATAATTGCTATTCAATTAAATATTACTCAGGGCATCAGGGATATAGATCAATGGTAGAATACATGCTTAGCATATGTAAAGCCCTGGGTTTGATCTCTAGTACCCAAAAAGAAAAGAAAAAAGAAAATTTACACATGGTATTCCATTGTTTATATCTCTAGGATAATTTTTTAAAGATTGGGTATAACTGTTAAAAACATAATTTGACATGAATTTGGTTCTATTTTCAAATTAAATTAATACTTTGTTAATCTTAAGTAAAATCTACATGTATGTGAAAATTTTTGACTCTTTGGAAGCCATTGTAGATTTCTGTGTTATTTTAGTTATGGCAGTATTTATCAGTTGTTAACACTGTTTCCTGGATTAAACACTTTACTGTGATTATCTAGATAAGTGGTGGCAAACCTATGACATGTGTGCCCCAGCAGGCTCTTTGTATCGTTGAGAGCTCTAAAAGGCTTGCATCACTGGATCGAGATACTTTTCTTTCAGAGAAAAGTCATGAAAGTATTGAAGCTCCTTGGTAACTTCCAAAGACTAAGGCGTGTGTCTACCATGTTCTTCTGTGATGGAATCACTGCAGTTATTTAAGTGAGATCTACATACAGAACCCAGTCATTGGTCTAAGTTTTTATGAATTTATTCATGTAATCGAATGTAAATATGATTAAAATTTATCTCAGTAAATGTGTTTATACAAGAAATAAGCATGATGTAGAAAAATGAGTAAAGTGTGTAGAGGAAGACAGGGTAGGAAAGAGCTTACATAGCTATATTCTCAAAGCTGCTATTAAAATCTGTAGTTTGGAATATTAATGCATTCTACTATACTATAATACTATATACTCCGATTTCTTTTTTAAATTAGGTACCTCTTTTACCAGTTTGGGACATGGTGAGTTTGGTTCTCCGGTATCTATTCCCCCTTTTTTCTTAGTGGCACAATTTGGCTGTGTATCGTAATGACTACTTTCCCAGCTTGGCAGCAGTATTGTATATCTATGAGACTAAATATAGATAGTGTGTTTTACTTCCAGGAAGTGTATTATAGAGAGAGGAGTGTGTTTTCTTCCTGCTTCTGTCCTGCTGCTAGGAGTGTTTTTGTTTTATTGGAGTTCCATCTTGGACCATGAGATTGGGACTATACTGTATCCTATGCGCTGTGGAGTGGAGAGCAAAAAGAAAGAGCAGGAGCCCCTGAGGATGTTGTGCAGCAGAACTTTCATATTAACCTGCATTGTCTGTTTCCAGATTCTTATTTGAAAGAAGTGAACTGTGTTATTTAAACAACTGTTCTTTTAGATTTTTCACTTACTATTAGCTAAACTTAATCTTAATTGATTCAGGGTAACTTTGGTACATCTAGTTGCTATCCTCCATTGGATAGCTGCCCGTGCAGATATGGAGCCTAAAAAAATGGTAGCTCCTCGTTAAGAAAGCAGGTTTAAGAGTCATCATGTTCACTCAAGGAAATTTTTTTTTATTATAGGTAGGAATATAGATGTGTGGGGCGGTGCGCTTTATATTTGGTTGACAGGAGGCAGTGATCAAAGTTTTGAGTAAACAACAAAAAGTATTCTTAATTGTAGGATAGTCACTAGCTTGATTTCCCCAACAATAGGAGAGGAAGGATTTTAAAGAGAAAATATTCAACAGTGATAATCCAGCAACTTAGAATCATATCTGGAACTACTCTTACTTTGAAAGCTATGTAAGATTTAAAACTGAATTGTTTTTTCATTTTCCTTTCTTTTTGGGGGCAAGCTTATGACCAAATGCATATTTTATTTATGAAAATAATAAATATTTTTAGTTTTTTGTAAAATTGGGGGATTCAGAGACATTCTTTTTTAAATGTTCCCAATATTAATTTTTTCTAAGATTATGGGATATTCAAGGTTTTAAAAAAATTGTTACATTGTAAGCCATACTACCTTGCTTTAAAGGTACTTGAATACTTTCAATGTATAAATTAAAATTTAAACATATAATTTCTAAATCATGAATGAATTCATTTTAAGTGTAGCTTCAGGTTTATGCAGCATTGACTGTAAATGAATGACTTACATTGTATGGAGTGTCCTTTTGTAGTGTAATTCTTTTAACAATGTGGCCTTATAGACAAGGAAGGAGACCAGGCAGCAAACTTCCAGATGCTTTGAGTATAAAGTTGCAGGATCCCAAGGGTATCTAGGAATTCCTGTGGTCCAGAAGGAGCTTGGAGGAGGGGAAAACCTAAAATCAGGAAGGTATTGCCAAGCATTCCTGTCCAGTGGCATTGTAAGCATTTAGAGACTGTCTTAATTCTTTTCTTGATATAACCAACCCTTCAGTTTACTAGGGTCCTCTCCCCCTGCTTTCCTCTGATGGAAACAGCTTTAATTCAGAAATGAAATGCAGTGGTAGCATTTCATTCACAGCTTTGCAGAAACATTTCTGATACTGAATATTTGTTAGATCTGGTAAATTAGATTTTCTTTGTTGCCAATTCAGACATAATTTTACAAATAGAAATTTTCTTCTTAAGATTAAAGAAAAAAAATTTAATAGATCTTAAACATAATTATTCTTGGCATATTAGCTTCTTTGAATACTGGTTTATTTGTGTGCAGGTGTATTTGTGCTTTAGTTTAATTTTTAGGGAGTGGGTTCTAAAATCTAAACTTTGGATCTTCTAAAAATGTAACTGGTCATTTTATGTATAATAGACTTATTATGAACAACTCCTTACATACAACATTTTCCTTCTTAATTGATTTTCAATGTTTGTCTTTTGAGAAGTATTTCAGCATTTTCATTGAGCAAATAAGATAGTGTACTCCCAGCCCCTACCCCTTTCTCGTTTTTACCCCCATAAAATTAGAAATTATGGCTTCTTTTTCCTTGTTATTCAGACACAGAAGGAGTGTGTGGTTTCTGTAACTTGTGCTTTACCTTTCTGAATTCTAAAATTAAAATTTTGTGGGCATATCTTTACGAGTTTTTTTATTTGTGTAGGAATGTATCTGTTTGGCAAAAAACTACATAAAGCGGCACTTTCATTTCTGTGTTACAGTGGGTCAGAAGTGGCAGAGGTACATATAACCAAGGCTGTAAAACTTAGAGATGTGTTAGTCCTTCTAGAAGGCTTCTAAATACTCAAGTATTCATTTAGATTTTTGTCCTTAATGTAGTTTATAATAAAATACGGATTAATATATTTTAGTATATTCAGTGCTCTGCATATTTGGCATAAGTGAAATGGCTAGAAATGCTATCCACCCAAATATTTCATGCAAAACCTCTAAAATTTAAAATAACTGTTATTTTCTTTTTTCATATGAACAGCTTGAAACATATTTTGCTTCTGTGAGGAGATGGCTATTATGATGCAAAGGAGTATCTTTTAAAAAAAAAAGTCCTCTCTTTGCTTTAAGGATTTCAGCTATATACTGTACTACAATAATTTCAAGTAAAGCCTGGTTCAGTTCTATGATATATTTTAACAAGTTCTCTTGAGACTATTAAATTGTCTTGGTTTTTAGGACATGTGACCCAGCAGGGATAAGTTTTTCTATAGATGCAATGGGTTGGCAGTTAGATTTTGGCATTCTTTCCAGATTCTCTGACCCAAGGTAACCTTTGGTCCTTGTCTAAGGCGGGAGTGAAGGAAGCTTGAGCAGGTGACTGATGATCACTGTCTCTGCAGGCCACAGACAATATGGGAATTACTTTAGCAGTCCCTTTAGTCCCCTCCTCCTACACCTCCCCCCTTAAACCAACAAATGCAAATAGCTTCATCCCCATTTGCTAGAAATTCAGGCTTGCTAGGGCAACATGGGCTTTGTTGTTGACTGGCTTTCTCCAGATTTGCAGTTTTATTCCTGGTAAGGAGCAAGGCTATCAACTGGAACTCAAATCAACTTAATGGTAAATACAGCAGCAACATTTTTCTCTAGGATATTTATAAAGGTAGGAATTATAGCAAAAGTTTTTTATATTGTAATTGAGGTGTGGTTAAAGAAATTCATTGTCTGCTTTGTTAGCTTTTGTATTTTGAATAGCCCAGTAATTTCTGTTACCTCAGAAAATCTTGTATTTTTCCTAAATATTATTTACTGAAATTATTGACACTGTTGTTTAAACATTCACTTCTAAAATTTGTTTTATAGTAAAGGAAAAAATCAATCTTTGGTAAATTCCACCATAAGAAATGTTTTTTCCTTTTTAAAAAAAGGAACAACCCTGTTGTAAGTCAGATTTGGTTATTTAAATCACCACTTTGTAATGAAAGTTGTCAAATTTTTGTAACTTTTAAGAATATGACAATAAATTATTTTTCATTGGTATTAGATTGGACTTATTAAAATATTTTGTACAAAAATGGGAATAACATTTTACTAATTAAATATTATACCAATACATTTAATGTATTTTTGTGTTAATTGTAGCAGCTATTGCTGTAATTTTTTAAACAACATAGTGGAATTCATTCTATAGAAATTGTTCAGCAATAAAAAATATATTGTAGTGTAAAAATCAAATGGCTTTTAAAAACTCGTATTGTTAAATGAATTATGACGACCTAAAACAACTGAAATTGCTTTCCTTTTTTATTTCTTCTGGAAATATTAAAAATTATGGAGATTATAATCTTCCTTAATAATGCCAAGTATACATGAGTGGCAGTTGTGAAATAAAATAGTTCTCATTGGAAATACCCTCCTCCTCCTCCCCGCCCCACAGTGAGGCTGAAAGGAGTAGTTCACAGAGCTTTTGTAGTCCCCAAGTAGAAAACAGTTATATTTTAAAAGCAAAACTCGTAAAGCCCTTCTAAATTCTAATTGTGATTTCTAGCTGCTTCTTACCTTTTTATGATTTCTTTTCTAGGCTGAATACTTATAAGGTAAAATTTTGAAACAGTAGGAAAGCCATGTAAATTTGACTAAGTTGGATTTTCTTGTTTTAATTTAGCATATATGCCAACAAACAAAGACACACTGTTGCTTAGCTATGCAGGTAGAGAAACTGCTTTACTTGGGCTTTCATATTTTGTTTATTACAGAGCTATCCTTTGACTTTTCAGTTATGTTTGAGAAATTTTTCCCAACAACTTTTTTTCAAGTTTTCAGCTTTAAGATGGAATGTTCTGTGCATTTAAGGTATTTTTATAAGGTATATGAAGAATTTCTTCTTCCTTTAATCTGTTTATCTTAGATCTCAAAGCCCAGTTTTGAAATAAGAATGAATCAAAGCTATTAGTCCTTTAAATATATTTGGTTTTGGTTTAGTTGTCCAGATAAAATTTTTAAAAATCTACTGGAAAAGACATAATAGCATCTCCCAAATGAGAATGCTTGGTCAGAGCATCAAAAGCAAGCTGTTTTAAATGAAATATTTTTCTGAATGAATCATTTTTATGTAGGAGTTACCTTTTCTTATGTGTTTAAGATATTTTTAATGCTGTGAAACTGGTTCTTGGTGTTGGAAGGGAAATCTGCATGGGTCATTACCAATCTCCAGAATGATGGAGGAGCTAAGGCAACAGGGCGGGCTTCTTCATGCTATTGCACGCCTATGATGTGGTTGGTAGATGAGTACAGAACTGAAGTAAGCCCTCAGATCATAACTGGGAAGTTGGTGTAAGGTCAAATAAGGCTTAAAATATGAAGAGGCAGATCCATTTTCCATAAAAACTGGGACAGATACCACTAAAACTTAGAGACCTTATTTTCCTTTGTAACTTCATTCTTTTTCCTTGTGGCAGTCAGTTTGTAAAACAAACCTGTGAAAATGAAAGGAGTGGAGAGGAAGGGGTCTTTTATACTTGTTTTGTACACAGAAGGAAAGTAGGAGATAGAGTCAAAATACAATATCTTGGAGAAGTCTTTAAGTGGTGATACAAGGAAGATTGATAAGTAGATATCTATGGGAGGCAGGATTGAGGTCTGAGGGGGGGAGCTGTCTGACAAGGACAATCTACCACTCAGACAATGCAGATGACTTTTCCTTTATGTTTTTCTGAGTCAGCTTCTCTGAACAGTTTCTGGCTGTGGTGTTGAGGTGATCCACTCTAATTCTGATTTTGCTGGAGTCTGAGCTGCAGATTGTGTTTTATTTTTATGGTTTCTGAAGAGCACTGCTGGCATGCAGTGAGCCTGCATGATTATTTCTGATGTTATTTTTAGTGAATTGATGAGTGGTACTTCACTATCCTCAGTTGGTTCCAGGACCCCCCAGAGATCCCTAAAATCCAAGGATGCTTAAAATCCCTTATATAAAATGCTGTGATATTTGCATGTGCACAGCACTAGGTACATTTTAAATAGCCTCTAGATTACTTGTAATACCTGTTGCACTGTATTTGCTATGTTAATAGTTGGTATGCTGTATTCTTTAAGGAAAATGACAGGAAAAAAGTCTGTACATGTTCAGTAGAAATGGAATTTTAAGTATTTTTAAACCTTACTTGGTTGAATCCATGATTTTGGAACCTATTGCAAAGAGCCAACTGTGTGCTACTCTAAAAATTGTATGGCTTTTTATCTAAATAGGGTATTATGCTTGTGTTGGAATATTTGTTTTCATTAGAGACATCTAAATATTTAGAATGGATGGCTGTATTTTTATTCAAAGATGTGGCTAAGTTTATCTTTATTGGGCATTTTGTATTTTTAATGACAACATTGGTATTTATTGTACAGCATTTGGAAAATGAGGCTAAGTAATAAGAGGGAAATTTAAAAATTACTTGTATCCCTATCTTCTGGAGATAATCTTTGCTAATATTTTAGTATATAAGTCTTAGGATATTTTAATTTAAAAATTGGAAACATTAAGCTGGGCATGGTGGTACAAGCCTATAATCCCAGCACTCTGGGACAGTGAGACAGGAGACTCTCAAAGTTCAAGCCCAGCCTGGGCAACTTAAATAAAGAATAAAAAAGGTCTGGGAATGTAGTTCAGTGCAAAGGCCCTGGGTTCAAGGGGAAAAAAGGAAATGTTAATTGCCAGTGGTCATTGAGACTATTTTTACAAGTATATGTTTTGCTCTGTTCCATGCGTAATAAATTATATTGGTTTGGTCCTGTCTACCTGGATATTCTTACTCTGTTATTCTAGTAATTAATAGACTTAAACTGTATTCTGATTGTAAATGCTTGTAGTAGAGAAATTCCACTAGAAAATGTATAGTCAAGAAAAATTATCAGAAGGTGGTACTCCAGTATTTGGTGCATTTTTTTTTTACCCTTAAAGGTATATTTAGCTAAGAGAATTGAAAATTCATTTGCTTTCACTCAGTTATAACCTCAATTATTTTGAAATATAATTTTAAAATTTTTTATATCTTAGAGCTGGATGGGACTAAATGCTAGATTATTAGAGGAGTATGTTGATATTTATTTTCAGCACTACTTTAAATTTTTTTCTTTGTGGTTTACATGTAATCTTTCTTATATTTGAACCTGAAAAAAATCTTAACCATATTATTTATTTCTGTATTTTAAGTTTATAGAAGAAAATGTTTTGGTTAAAAGATCTCAAGCTGAGGATATAGCTCAGTGATAAGAGTACTTACCTAGCATGTGCATGGTCTTGGGTTTGATAGCTAGTACTGCAAAACAAGTCTTTTCATTTTCCATCTCAAATCAGAAATAATGCCCAGTTTAAGCAAAGAACATGGGCTTTTTGGCTAAGATAGTTCTGAATTTGAATCCTGGTTCTACCATTTCTAGACTGGTGTGACACTTGGTTAGTTACTTATCTTGCTGAGCCTCTTTTTATTCATATTTAAAATGGAGATAATAGCTCTACACAGTGGTGCATGCCTGTAATCCCAGCATTCTGGGAGGCTGAGATGGGAAGATCACAAGTTCAAGACCAGCCTGAGCAATTTAGCAAGACCCTGTCTTAAAATTTAAAAAAAAATTAAAGGCTGAGAATGTAGCTCATTGGGAAGGCCCAGAGTTTAATTCCCAGTAATAAAACTCCAGCAAAACTAAAAAGTTCTTACTTTGTGACCACTGTGAGTACACAGTTATAATGCTGATATCGCTTTAACCTTACTTAAACATGCATTTTCTGTTTGATGTAGTTTTAATACTAAATACAGTTTCAGCACGGTGTATATACATGAAACAATATAATGTGTTCTAGCCTTATAATTTTATTTTTAAATCATACCTCCTTAAAGCTGGAAAAAAAAAAGAAAAATGGAATCAGCTGGCCTCTGAAAGATGAATAAAGAGCCCTAGGTACTAGGTAGTTTGCTTTGCTGTTTTTCTATATTGATGTACAAGATGATTTCTATAAACGGCGTAATTGGGTAGTGTTTTCTGAAGGAAAGACTCTTTTTGCACTAAGAAAAAAAAATACAGAAAGTAGCCAAAAGGTAATTTGCCAGAAATTTTCACTGGGCTACATCAAAGTTACTGATTACTCTTACAAAACCCTTTTTTTTTTTTTTTTTAGAGAATTAGACTATTTCCTGATGATACGAAATCTTAAAGTATTCTAAAACTTCATTTTAAATAGTACTTTTATTTTAAGTGATTTTCAGGGAATAACCTTTGGGGAGAATTTTAAAGATTAACTTCTCTTGAGTCATAAGAAGATAATGCCTTAATTATGTCATTTACTTTAATTTTTTGTTGTGTTTTTCTCAGTTCCTATTGCAAAGAATACAAAAAAAATAGAATCTTCCCCTTTTGACGCAACCCAGCATTCAATGCAGTCTCCACAGGAAACTGCTGTAATACTGCCAACACAACAGATCAGGAAATCGGCTCGAATTAATAAACCACCTGGACCTACTCCAGCCCCTGAGAAGGGCAGTACTTTTAAAAATATACCAAAGAAAAAAAGTCAAAGCTCAGGAAAAAAGGTTAGTTGTATCTCCTGCTAATTTGTATATAGGTCTCTCTAGTGCTGTATTTGTGACATACAGTTAGGAATTTGTCAGCATTATGATTAGGCTCTTTAGGAATGTACTAAGATCATATAGCGTTCTTAAAGGCCCCACATAGCTATTGAGAAATTGACATTTCTTTTCTTGGGTAATTTGATACTTTTTATAATCTTCAAAACCACTGTGGATGCACTATATGGGTATATTTGTGTTCTTGCTAGTTAGTTTAAAATTTATATACTTTCAGAAACTATTATGCCTTACTGGGGATTGAATGCCTCATGCATGCTAGACAAGCAACTCTATCAGTGCACTACATTCCCTGCCCTTTTATACTTGGAAACATGGTCTCACTGAGTTGCCCGCACTGGCCTTCAGAAACTTAGTCTTCATGCCTCAGCTTCCCTAGGAGCTGGGATTACAAGGCACGTGCCACTGCACTTGGCTGAAATTCAGTGTATTTAAAAAATCTATATGAAGTGCATTTTACTGTACATAAACTATACTTCAGTAAACTAATGGGAGGGAATCAGTGTGATGAGTTTAGTAAGTTTGAGTGTTACGGTTTATATCTAGACGTCCCCCAAAGACTCATGCCCATCTCTTTATGCAAAATGCATTTAGACCATCTTTAAGAGTTGCCAAAGTCCTAACAGTTTCAGCATTGCTGAAAAGTCCAAGCCCAAAGCCTCTTTTGAGATTTAAAGCAAACTCTTAGCTTCGAGCCCCTGTAAAAATGAAAAGAAAGTTAAATTCTGCCAACATACAAATGTACAGGGTAAACATTCCCATTCCAAAGGTAGAAATAGGACAGTAGAAAGGAATGGAACCAAAGCAAGACCTCATCCATCCAGCAAGGCAAACATTAAACCCTGTAGTTTGTGTCTAGCACCTGGGACAATCTGTGGCTAGATGTGTGAACTGCAAAGGACTTGAGTGGCCCTGCCCCTTACAGCATTGCTCACTCCTTGGGGCTTTCCACAGACATTCCGCATTCCTGGCTTTCTAACGTGCTGGGATCTCCACTGCCCTAACTTCACTGTCAGGGCTTTAGAAACTGCCCTCTCTCGGGGGCCAGTGCCTGGCCTCTCAGGCCTTCTGAAATCTGAGTGGAAGCCTTTCTGACCCTCAACTCTTGCATTCTGTGTGTGCCTAAAACCAACACCATGCAGATGACGATGCCAAAGTCTGCTACCAGCTGGAGTAGTAACTGAATCCTTTTGCATCTTTCTCTTGGTTGGAGAAGCCCCTGAATGACTGAGCACGTGAACTGAATTCTGTGGAATCCATTCCCATTCCCTAGGCTGCTTCCATTCTGGAGCTTAGTGCCCTGGGGCTCTCTTCTCAAAGCAGTCTTTAACCTTTGCAGTTTTAAGCCTGCACAGCTGGAATCCTGCTGGTTCTCAGGGGCCGTCTTTTCTATTGTCCTGGTCCAAAGTACTTGGCTCTTTTTTTTCTACTTGTATTCTCTCTAATTGAAGGATTACTCAATGAATTTTAAGTACATAAAATCACTAATTTTAAATGTGTTTTAAAATACATGTATCTATATCAATTTACAACAGTAAAACTACCACCCACATCAAGATTTTGAACAAAAATCTTACATATGAATGCCAGTTTCTTAAATATGAAATTTCTTTTAACATCCTTATTTCTACCTAATAAAAATGTTACTCTCCATTTCTAAACCTCAAGGGTTTCTATTACCTTTAAACTCCTTTAACCTCTGTTTTTTACAAATATGAGTATCTCAGATCAGAGTTTTGTTTTGTTTTTTAGTCAACTTGGATCTTATTAATTAGGAATTTAACCAGTCTGTAATTTACTTCTATCTCTGTCAATATATCTTTTCTGCAAATTTTAATGCTTCCATGGTATTTTTCTTTTGCTAGTTTCTCTTGATTTTTTCACTTGTTTTCAATTCCAGAAACTTGGAATATATATAATCTATTTTTGTCTACAACTCAGTGACAAATTGACTTATATGAACTACCATTTGATGCAGTAATTACTGGTTTCCCTATTCAGTATTTCAAACATATCCACACCTCTCCAACCAGTGCTTTGAAAATTTTCTCCTTACATTATTATTATTAACATTATAGACTTGTTATTTTTTTAAAAGGAAATAAAGCTACCATTTTCTAATTTTGTCAGATTAACATTTAGAATGTCTTTACTGTACTTGTCCTGCCCACAGTGACAAACCATTTTTATCTAACATAGATTTGGCTTTAACAACAAGTATTGTTATAATATTACATGGCAAAAATAAAACGGTATTTATTTACCCAATACATTGAATATTTGGCATGAACTTTGACAGTTTAAAAGTATATAAACTGAAAAGTTTAGATCTAGCTTACAAATCTATTTTGCATTAGGTTTATTACCCTATATGCAAAAATTTTAGATATCATGTTTCTTAACTAGTTTTAACAATCAAATCTTTCATAGTTATCTCCCTACTCTTTTTAATTTTTCTGTTGGCTGCAGTAAATCATTCAGCAACATTTTCAGAGGTGTTTGGTCGATATACTTTCCTAACCCCTTGGTATCTAAGAAAGTCTCCCAGTTGCCTTCATACACAAATCTTAACTTGGCAGGGTATGTAATTCTTGACTGAAAATTATTTTCCCGTTAAAACTCTATAGATATTGTCTCATTGTCTTTTGGCATTTAGAATTGTAAGAGAAGGTCGGTCTGACTTTTGCTCCTCTATAGGTAACCTGCTCTGCTAGAATACTTGCAAATTTTTTCCTTATCCTTGGAATTTTAAAATGTCATAAGGATATGTCTAAGTGTTGCTTTCTTCTCATGAAATTTTAAAGGTACCCTGTGAGCCTTCTTCATTTGCAGGCCTGCTTCATTCTTCAACTCTTTTCTTCAATTAGTTCCTTAATTATTGTTTCAGCTTCATTTGCTTTGTCCTCTGTTTCTGGTATTCCTATTACATGTAGATTATATTTCTTGGACAAGCCCTCTACACCTATCTTCTTCTCCTCTCTTCTTAATTTATTTGCCCTTTTCCTCTGCATTTTGTGAGAATTTCTCTTGTTTTGCATTTGCTTCAGTAATTTTATTTTGTGACCAACCCTGCTTACGTGTTTCCTTTAAATGGAAGGCCATGATTTCTTCTATGTGGTCACATACCTCCTGCTTTATAATTAAGCCCATATGGGCAACAAACTCTCTTATAATGTTCAGTGTTTTCTAGATGGTTGCTGTAGCCTGGTGCATCAGTATGAGAGGAGGGATTTTCTCTATTACTTAGCTCTATTCCTTTCTTCTGAACTGCGTCTTCATCCCATTCACAAACACCAAAGTTGAAAAAAACAAGTACTTTTAATGGTAACCTTATCAGTAACCAAGTTCCTCTTCGCAGGCCCCAGCTTTACCCAGGCTTCCTTTCTAGCCAAACTCAAAACTTTTAAAATCATTCTACTAGGCTATTTGCTCTTAGTTTGCAATGTAGAGCTGGATAAAAGGTCCCAACAGCACCTAAAGCCACAGCCTGAATGTTTGGCTGCTTTAAAATTTCCTCCACCAGGTTAATTAGTCCACCACCCTTAATCTCAGACTTCCACAAATTTACTAGACACGAGTAAAATAAAGGTACATTTTCTGCCAGAACATAACACACACGGCCTGGGATCCATCTTCCAGTGGAGTCCTTCCCAACTGAAACCTCTTGAGCCTGGTCTTTTCTGGCTCCACTACTGTCAAAATTATAATTTTCTGAGCTCTGACAAGACTCTCCCATCAAGCTCAGCTCACAGCATTCTAGGGCTGCTTCTCCAGCCAGGTCTCCAAAACTTTCTAAATTCCTGCAGGCCAGTTCTAAAGGCTTCTGAACCACATGATCATGTAGCATCACAGCAACAACCAGACTCTGGTACCAAAAACTCTTACTTTCTACTTGCTGAGAAACAATACCCACCACACAGAAATTAAAGGAGGAAAGGTTTATTTTGGCTCACAGTTGATAGAGATTTCACTCCAGAGTTGACTAGCTCCAAGGCAGGGCACCACTGCAGAGGGACATGGCAGAGGAGAATTAGTTCATGGCATGGCAGTGGGAAGCAGAGAAAGAGAGAAATCAAGGGAAGAGGGAGGGAGATAGATCCTTCCAGGTCATGCCCACAATGACCCACCTCTTCACCTCCCAACATCATATTTAGTTATAAACTCATCAGTAGACTAATCCACTAGTGAGTATCATGCTCCCATTATGCACTCACCTCCCAGCCCCCGCGCCATGAGCACATAAGGCTTTGGGGGGACATTTAGATATAAATCTGTCTTAGTCACTGAGACATTGACTTAACATTTTACCTGATTCCCCCAAAGAAGACATGTCTAAAATCTGGAAGTAATAGGAAAAAAAGCAATTAATTGAAGATACACTGGAGAATGAATGGAAGCAGATAGATTCTGTTGGCAGGCAAAGTACACCCTAAGGAAGGTTTTTTATGCAAAGTGAGTTTCCATTTTTGTTTTTAGCATCGGTTAGGTGCACTGTGTAACATGTTAGTGACAGTGGTGTTGCTAGGAAAGCTAGAGTTTGTCTGGCATGAGGAAAACAGAAAACAGAATCCAGGAAAACTGTGGCTCCTAAAGATATTTGAGGGATCATAGAAGGGAAAGAGCCAGAAAGAAGACCCCCAAACTGTCTACCAACACTTCTGACAGACCATTGATCCAAATGTGTGGATAGCACAGAGGCCAGCTTAGCTAAAGTAAAAGTTTGCACTGAGGCTGAAGTTATGCCCAAGATCAGAGTTTAAAGTTTCTCCAACAAAGATAATTTTCTGCTAAAATATAGGACATAACACCCATGAGGAAAAAATAGAATCCATAATCTGCATAAATTAACATTCATAATGTCTAAGATACAATCCATAATTGCCTAAAAGACACAGTAAAATGAACACATTTGTGACCTTGATGTTGGAACTAGCAAACAAAAATTTTATAATGGCTATTAAAATTGTCCTTGGGAGCCGGGGACTTTGTTCAGTGGTACTGCACCTGCCTCGCAAGCGCAAGGTCCTGAGTTCGATTCCTGGTACTGCAAAAAAAGAAATTTGTCCTTGATGAAGTTAAAAGCCCCCCCCCCCATAATTTCAGAGATTAAAAGGATAGGCTGGGCTGGGGATTTAGCTCAGTGGTTTTGCCGCCTGCTGCGTAAGTGCAAGGACCCGAGTTCGATCCCCTGTACCAAAAAAATAAAAAATAAAAAAAAGGATAGGCTATCTTAGCAGAGAAACATAAAGGTTAGAAATGAACCAAATGAAAATTCAGGTATTGAAAATCACTGTATAGAAGTAACAGGAATTGACTGGAGATGACAAAAGAAACAGCAAGGGAACTGGAAGATAAAATAGAAATTTTCTGATGTGAAGAACTGAGATAAAATTAAAAGATTGAGAAACAAAACAGCTCCAGAGATCTTTTAGGATTTTAAAATTTAGGTAATATCAAAAGTTTAACACATGTAATTGAAGTCCTAAAAGAAAAAGATAGATTGGGCAGAAAATGTATTGAACAAATAATATCTCGATTTCTGAGTTTCATGAATGATAGACATATGTACAGACGGAATATACAACCAAGAACAAACTGAAGTCTAAGCCAAGGCATACCAAACGGTTGAAAACCAGAGATAAAGAACAAATCTTAAAAGGCAACAATGTAAAAATGAAAAAATATGTACAGAGAAACATGAATTTGATTATCAACTGAGTTTCCTTGTTCAGAAGCATGGATGCCAAAAGAGAGTAGAACATCTCTAAGGTGCTAAAAGACAGAAAAAATTGTCAACCCAAAATTGTACATTTCAAGAATGAAAGTGAGGGCCGGGATTTAGCTCATTGGTTCCAGTGCCTGCCTTACAAGCACAAGGTCTCGAGTTCGATCCCCAGTACCAAAAAAAAAAAAAAAAGAATAAAAGTAAACTTAGAGGGAAAGGATAGGTAGTGTAGTCTTGTTTTTGATAATAAACTATAGTTTTTATTTCAAAGACAGCATTTTGGTTCAATTTCATCCTCTTTAGCTTCATTATTTCACCATGAAAAGATGAAGATTCTCATACATTTACCTATATTCATGTCTCAGTACTGGCCATGTTCATAGTTTAGATATTCAGAAAGTCTGAACTAGTAAAAATTATTTGTAGTAATCTCTTTGCTTTGGGAACTGTCATTTTCTTAATACCCTTAAGGATTTTAGAAGTACAGAACTGCAATTTCTAAATAAGTGTACCTTTATTCAATTTACAATGTTTTTTGATTTTTTTTTGGTACCGGGGATCGAACTCGGGTCCTTGCGCTTGCGTAGCAGGCAGCGAAACCACTGAGCTAAATCCCCGGCCCTCAATTTACAATGTTGATGTAAACATACTGTCTTAATATATCTCAAGTCAAGGGATTCAGATTTTAAAATAATGAGAGTAAGATAAAGGACTAATTATAATTCAATATGTAAAAATAACATGATTTACTAGAATACTATAAACCTAAATGATAATCATTAATTCACACAAATTCCAACACTTTTGAATGCTGTCCTATTTTTTATTCCTTTGTCCCTGCCTTTAAGTGTCCTCTACTGTGACCTTTTCCAGGCACAAGAGTCCCTTTTCTAATATTAAAGAGTAGTGTTTGAAAGAAGTTGCAAGAAAATCCAAAAAGTTGATGTGAAATAAAAGGAAACATCATGGTGATATTTAACAGTGCTCAGGAGACATTTGACACTTAATACATGATTTGACTAAGATGTGATCAGTTGGAGCAAGGGATAGGGCAGGAATTCTTAGCCTCTTGGTCTCTTTGTCCCCTATTTGGATGGCTCAAAAGTACTTGGAGTTCATAATACATATAGTGAACCTATGGCATGAGTGTTATACATTAACATCTTTTGTCTTAAAAGAAAAATAAGGTTTTTTCTAAACTAAAACCTCAGTATTCAGGTTTAATTGCAACGTTGGCACTTTGCGATAAATAAGTGGGTTTTGGGTTATAGCTTGGGCACTCATCTCTAAGAGGTTTACTATCAATGATACAGTGGTTTCCAACCTTGAGCGTTTCTGATAACTGATAATTTTGTGAACCAACAGTGCCTATAATTTCCTTACCTTCTTATCAAGCAATTTTTAAAGAGTAATGTATACTTACGTTCTTTTTGTTTAACAGGAAAAAACTATACCTGTGTTGTGTTCTACATCTACAACTTCTCTAAGAACACTGGCAAGAATTTCACGGGATAGGAATGTCAGTGCTGCTCCATCTAAAATAGTGATGTCCACAGGTAAATTAGTATTTTCCAAAGAACTATAAAATTATCTATCTTTTATATTATATTATTTTCAGTCTTGAAGTCCTGGAAATGAAAAAAAATGATGACAATAGTTAACATTTCTTATAGCATTTTTCATATTATTTTGTAATATTGATTGTTAAATTTGATGTTAAAGAGAATCTGTTTAAATATATCTCATTTTAAAATTCAGTATCCTTACAGCATTTAATCCATTTAAGTAAGAAATAACATTTCTATCATTGTCAAATCTGTTATTTTCCCTTTATCTCTTCAGATTTTATTTTGTTTTTTTGTATTGTATGTATTTTCAAGCTACCTCAAACCTTTTTTTTAATGCCTTTTGAAAATATTTTTTCTTAGCAGTCCTTGCCTATGAAGGAGAATGGTAACTTTAAATTGTTATCTGGTATGTGAAGAGTTTGAACCAACACAAACCCAAACAAATCAATCCGTTTTATCTATTATCTTCTGTACATTTGCTTATTCCTGTTTTTAAAAAGCAGCTTTTGCTACTTCCTCCCCTAGATCCTTAATTATCTCCCTTATAGTATGTCCTGGACTTTTTTCTCCAACATTTTTCTCTCTTGACTGAAAGGAAATTATAATTTAATGTTTTGAAATAGAAATCACTCTAAAATATTATGACATACCTAATTTTTAATTATTTCTGATTTTTAATCTATCAGCAAGAGAGACTAGCCAAATGGATAAAGTTGACCATCTGAATCTGAAATGCTCCCAAATCCAAAACTTTTTGAGTGCTGACACACTACCATGAGTGAAAAATACCTGACCTCATACATTGGGTCATATGTTGCAGTCAAAACAGAGGTGTACTAATCTATGAAAATTTACGTTATAAACTAATGGATTAAATAATGTGCTTCTTGATTTAGGAAAGCAATAGTTTTGATAATGATGTACCTTTGTGTTTTTTTAGTTACATTGATTCTCGTAAAAATTATTGAAACTTGAGCTTTGTGTGATTATAGATGAATTCTCTATCTTATGCCTTATACTAGTTTATTTTTAAATTTTCTTCAATAAAATTGGCATATCGAGAAGCAAATGTTTTTATTTTTTTTAAATTATGCTGGTATATACTATGGATTAAAAAGTAATTGAGAGTGTTATTATTTTTTATTTTTTTTAAATTAATGAAATTAATTTCTCTATATTATTAGATGTTACACTGACATATGCCTTAAATTATTTGTTTACTCCAGATAATACAATTGAGATTCAATGTTAGTGACATAAAGGAAATTAAGTCCAAAAGGAGTATATCAGAATGACCATTTTTGAAAGGAAATTCTTGTATTATGTGTACAATTAAAAAAGGAGAATATTCAACTATCTTTTTGCCATTTTCTATAATGTGAAATGTATGAAGAATGGTTTTTGTGATGTCCTTCAACTTGTATAGTTTCTAATATAATCATTTTGGGCATAATTCTAAAATATTGAATAAACAGTTTGACTATTTCTTTGTATGTTTAGTATCTTTACACACATAGGATATATTTACCTACATAGATAGCAGAAGTGACCATTGATACTAACTGTATTTAGATTCCTTTTAAGTGAAGTGACTTTTTTGATACAATAATTACATAGTGTTTTTACAAATTTCCTTTTAATCTATATCGTCATATCTGTGTACACATTTTCCCTCAAGTCTGTGTTTATATAAACAAACATGGAAACCCTGGCCCTCACCTGGACCCAAGGAGAATCCAACAGCTACCTGATCACTTTGGCCCAGGCCCTGTAAATGTGGTGCTCCGGCGGACTGTGCAAGCCTGCGTGGATTGTGCCTTTGAGTCAAAGACCGTTTTTGGGTTTCTTAAGCCAGATAATCGTGGAGGAGAAGTCATAACTGGTATACTAATCTAATTCTTTATTCAACTTCTTTTTCCAAATTTGATTTTAAGTTGAGATGCTAGGATTTTATAACATACAGGCTATCATTCTACTAGTTATGCTGTAATATTTGCCTGATAGAATATGTATAATAGCTACAATCAACTTTTAACCATGGTTTGGAAAGTTTATTTAAGAAGAGACAAATGAGGGCTGGGGATTTAGCTCAGTGGTTCCAGTGCCTGCCTCACAAGCGCAAGGTCCCGAGTTCGATCCCCAGTACAAAAAACAAAAATAAAAACAAGAGACAAATGATATTAGTGTAATATGCTAATTTAAGATAAAAGGTACAGATTTTTCCTTTTACATGCTGTGTTAAGCTCAGTATAGACACTACCTTGGTTATAATATGTATTAATTTGTGTAGAAAACAGGCTGATCTATAAGAACCTTTAAATAAAAATGTGATTCAAGTACTCATTAAGAGAGCCGGGGATTTAGCTCAGTGGTACCACACCTGCCTGGCAAGTGCAGAGTCCTAAGTTCGATCTCTGGTACCCAAAAAAAAAAACAACCAAAAAACAAAAACTCATTAAGAGAAAAGATACAGTGGGTGGTTTCCATACTTGTGTGATTGGATACCCCATTTTTGCCCTTGGAATAGAAAGAAATGTTGCTATAGGTCAATAGGGTTTCTGTTGATTTTGTTTACTTTGTGAATATTTTTTTTCTTTTTTTCTTTGTGAATATTTTTAAATAAGAGGGTTTTTACCACTATAAGCTATTGAGTGAGAACTTATAATTTAAGTTTATTTCTTTATGAATTACAAAAACTACAAATTAAACTTGTCATACATTTCCTAAATTGATGGAGGTTTTTGTTTGCGTTGTATTTCTTACTTTTTTGTGAGATGACTGACATCTCTTTCCCCCTTAAATAGCCTCTTTTGATGGGGAAGTTCATTCCATCCAGCTGCCTCCAGTAAATAGTGCATCCTTTGCTCTTCGCTTTCTTGAGACTTTGTGCCATAGCCTGCAGTGTGATAACCTTTTGAGTAGCCAGCCTTTCAGCTCTTACAGGGGTAATATCCAAAGCCCTGTGGAACATGATAAAAATATATCAGGTAAGAGAAAATGTAAGTTTTTATACTATGCTTCTGTTTATTTTGTGCTTAACTTGAGAAAATTGTGTAATTCAGTTTTTCTGTCTTCCTCAAAGTAAATGTTTTAGCAATAAAGAACTAATTAGGCATATATAATATATGATTGTTTTTATTCATTTAAAATGGGAAAATAAGCTGGACATGGTGGAACACTCCTGTAATTCTAGCACTCTAGGAGTCTGAGGCTGGAGGATCACAGTTTGAGCCCAGCCGGAGCAACTTAGTGATTTAGCAAGAGTGTGTCTCAAAAAAAAGTTAAAAAATGATAAAAGGGCTGAGGATATAGCTTAGTGTGAAGGCCTAGGGTTCATGCCTTAGTACCACAAAATAGATGACAGACAGGCAAATAGAAAGAAAGTAATTTTTTGTGTTCATAATAAAATTGAGAATCAAAATCAGTGAGTTATGTTTGGCTTCTTTGTGACTAGTTCACAGAGTTACAGATTTTCTATTAGATTGAAATGGAGATTTAAAGTTACTGACCTTAATCCTAAAATGTTAGCAAAGCATATTGAGCGCATTGGCTATCAGCAATGATCTGCTTGAACTTAACATTTAAGCCTTGGTTGCCTTTCTTCCACACAAACCCTCAACTGATGCCTGAATGAGAGGATCTGTGTAAGGCAGTCTCGTATAACCAAAGGTGGCTGCGTTCACTAAAGTAAGAAAGCTCTTTGAGCTTCTAGGCTAATGTGTTTCGTTCTTTGGGAGAATGGTTTGTATGTTTTTATGTTTATTTGTTCTTTTAAAATTCAGCACAGGATGTTTAAATTTTTAGATAAATAACTGGGATAGGTTACTATTTGATAGAATACACCGAATAATCAAATAATATTATTTTAAGCTTTTATCAGTTTGTTTATTTGTTTGGCCATTTGAAAATGGATTTGAACTGGAATTTTTATGTTAGTTTTTTTAGTTAGCTTGCAGTTTTAAAAGTTGCATATAAGGCCCAGGGATGTAGCTCAACGGTGCTGCACCTGCCTGGCAAGCTCAAGGTCCTGAGTTCAATTCCCAGTACCAGGGGGAAAAAAGGCAAAAAGTTGCATGTAAATGTTATAAAGTTGATTCTTCAAAAATTCTATGTCCACTACCTCATTTGTCTTACATTTTTTGAATAAGTGACTAAAAATATTTTTCAGACAAAGTGCTCTTGGGAGATTTTAATTCTGACAGATCCGGTGTTTGCATATTTTAGCAATAGTTGTCTTAAAGACATTTCACTGAAATATAATATACCTAGAGAAAAATACACATAAAATACAGCTTCACGAAGTGAACACAACTCAATTAACAAGGTTCTGGTTGAAGAAGTAGATACAGTGTGGTATCTCAGTTCATAAACTTATTTCTACAATTCTGGTCATGAACTGAGGTACCACTATAGTGCCAGTACCCTAGAAGCACCCCTAACGTGTCAAACCCCTTCCATCCACTATTCCCCTTTAACCTCGACAAGGGTAACTACTGTCCCGACTTCTGGTACCATATATTAGTTTTACATATTTTTGAACTTTATAAAAATAATAGATTCTGTGTTCTTTTGTGTCTAGCTGTTTTTTACTCATTTTGTTTGTAAGATTTATCTGTAGTATATGTAGTCAGATATTTAGTCTCTTTAATGTATAAAATTCTGTTGTAAAAATAGGCCATTATTTTGTGTATCTAAGTACTTTGTGTTTGCTGCCTTTATCAGTAGTGTTATTGTGAATATTTTAGTATGTGTTTTTTTGTAAAGTATGTATGCCTTTTTGTTCCTGTATCTGTCTATCTATGAGTGGAATTGCTAGATCATAGGAAATGCATTGGTTAAGCTTTGGTAGATACCATCAGTTTTTCAAAGTGATTACCTTACCTTACTGTCTTATCAGCCTTTTAATAGGTTCTCTGGTGAAATTTTTTCTCCTGTCCATATTTTTCTCGGATGTTTTTGAATTTACTGACCAAAATTGTGTTATAATCCTAGTCTATTGACACCAGTTCTCTCAATTATTAGTTAAGTGGTCTTGCTTCTTTGCATGCCTATTTTTTGTTTGGTAGACATTATGTATACAAGTAGCCACACACATTATGTATAAAAGATCGGCAGGCACTCCAGATTTCTTCCTTATGGGGTTTCTTCTTTTCTCCTTTAGGCAGGACAAGCGAGGGGCTCATTCCAGCCAGAGACAGCGCTAGGTGGGGCTGAAGAACAGTTTTATTGAGACTCGGTCTATCTGATTCCTCCCTATTCAGCAAATGTTGACCTCCCAGGTTTTTTGATTGAGAGCCTGGCAATTCGGGAGCTCCCTAGCCCTGAAAGACCATGGGAAACTATGCTTCTATCCTTTAGAGGATTTAGCTCAGCTCTTTAACCTTCTTCCTCATGTATTACCCAAACTTGTCTTATGTGCTGAGGAATAGACTACTGTATGTTTGAGTTAGACCCCTTCTCCTGGTAGATCTGTATTTCATAAGTTCTGTGAGACTGACCGTAGGAGATTCCAGTGTGCTTTTAAAGAACTTTCAACTTAGCTATGCAACTTTTTGTGTAGCCCCAGAACTCAGCAGATGTCCCATGGGTTAAAGCCACCTATGAGTTTGCACTTCCAATTTGTCACTCCAGATTGTGAAGCTTTTGGGCTGGGGATTTAGCTCAGTGGTTCTGGTGCCTGCCTCGCAAGCGCAACGTCCCGAGTTCAATCTCTGGTACCCAAAAAAACAGATTGTGAAGCTTTTAAATCTTTTTTAAATTTATTTTTGCCTCACCAGGGCCCATTGCCTGGGTCAAATCCTAATTTCAATGCAGTACCAAGAATCAGCAAATTTCCTACAAGAAAAAATTTGATGAAATTTTCTGTTTAACCTAGAATGAATGGTTCTTCCCTCTCTGGAATTTGATTATATTAATTCTTGTGACTACCATACCTCTATGATGCCTGCTGTACAATAACTTTATAATGATATAATTCATATACTATAATTTTACCCCTTTGAAGTATACAATTCAGTGCTTTCAGTGTGTTCACGAAGTTCTGCAATAGTCACCACTATCTAATTTCAGAGCATTTTCCTTATCCCAAAAAGAAACCCCATACCCATTAGCGTTCATTTACCAATCTCCTCCAGCCTCTGGAAACCATTAATTTACTTTCTGTCTTTGTGAGTGTCTTTTGTGAACATTTTATATTAGTACAGTATGTGGCCTTTTATGTGTGGCTTCTTTTACATTATATAATATTTTAATGTAGTGGTGTCAGTCCTTCATTCCTTTTTATGGCTGAACAATATTCTGTTATGTAGATGCATCACATTTTGTTTACTCATTCATCAATTGATGAACTTTTAGATTGTTTCCACTTTTTGGCTATTAGGAATATTCCTTATGTGAGCACTTGTATGCAAGTTTTTGTGTAGACATATGTTCTTAGTTCTCTTGGATATAAACCTAGGAGTAGAATTTCTGGATTGTATGGTAAAACTGTGTTTAACTTCTTTTGGAGCTGACACAAAGAGGCTGTACCATTTTACATTCCCAACAGCGGCATACTAAGGTTCCATTTTCTCCACATTCTTGTCAACACTTGTTATTGTCCTTCTTGTTGTTGTTGTTGTTATAGCCATCCTTTTGAGTGTGAAATGATATGTCATTGTAGTTTGATTTTCACTTACCTAATGACTGATATTGACCATCTTTTCTTGTATTTATTGGCCATTTGTTTATCTTCTTTGGAGAAATACATATTCAAATCCTTTTCTCATTTTAGTTGTATTCTTTTTATTGTTGAGTTGTAAAAAGTTCTTTATTTGAGTTACAAATCTCATTTAATATATACACTCTGCATATATTTTATGCCATCCTTCAACTTGTCTGTGTGAGTGTGTGAGTGTGTGTGTGTGTGTGTGTGTGTGCGCGCGTGCGTGCTTGTTGCTGGGAAGTAAATCCAATGTGTCATACATTCTAGGCAAGTACTTTATCATTGAGCTACATCCTCAGCTCTTGAATTTCTTGATGGTATGCCTTAAAATACAAAAGCTTTTTACTTTGGTGAAGTACAATTTCTCTGTTTTGTTGCTTGTACTTTGGTTTCATATCTAAGAAACCATTGCCTAACCCAAGTTCCTAAGTATTTGCTCCCATGTCTTCTGCTGATTTTTATAGTTTGGCTCTTATATATAGCTCATTAATGTACTTTGAGTTGATTTTTATATATGTTCTGAGATAGGGATCCAGTTTCACTCTTATGGATGTGAATATCTAGTTGTCTTGGCACTGTTTGTTGAAAATCATTTGACTATAAATATGTGGCGTTATTTCTGCACTTTCAGTTCTTTTTTATTGACCTGTGTGTCTGTCCTCCATAGACTTAATGGTACGTTTTGTAGTAAGTTTCGTATTTGAGAAGTGTGAGCCCTCCAGTTTTGTTCTCTTTTCAAGGTTATTTTGGCTGTTTTGGGTCCCCTATATTTTCATATGAATTTTAGGATCAACTTGTCAATTTGAGTCTTCCATCCGTGAACATTTATTCTCATGTAAGTCTATTTCAACAATATCTGACAGTTTTCAGAGAACACATCTTGCATTGTTTTCAATAAATTTGTTCCTAAACATTATTTTTCATGCTGTTGTAAATGGAATTGTTTTAGTTTCATTTTCAGTTTGTTCATTGCAAATGTATAGGAATATAATTGATTTGTATATATTGATTTTGTATTTTGTAATCTTTCTGAATTCATTGATTAGTTCTTATAGCTTTTTTATGTATGTGCATTCCTTTGAATTTTTTAAATATTAAGTTCATGTCATCTGTAGATAAAAATTGTTTTTTCCTTTCCATTCTGAAAGGCCTTTATTTGGCCATTGTCCTGTCTAGAACCTCCGGAACACTGTTAAATATAAGTGGCAAGAGTGAACATCCTTGTCTTGTTCCTAATCTTAGCAGCTTTCACTCTGTCAATCTTTCAGCCAAGGTTGACATTAG